TACACCCAACTCCTCCGAGCCAACGCTTATCTGAGATTTCTGGGTACCTCAGAAGTCTTGGATTTAAGCTTGTTCTGTAGCAAAAAGAGTATAAACAATGCCCAATTGGGAGCTGAAGAGTTGTTGCAAGCATGACCAGGTCGTATTCTTAGCGACTATTGGAGTCTTCACCGTTGTGATCCTCGCGGTATGTCAACTTTGGCATTTTTGCTTTCATTAGAAACTATTTGACTCTGTTTGTTTCCCCAGAAAAAAAAAGAGAATAAATTTAAGAGTGGTCTCTCTGATGTATTTGTTCTGCTTTCTTGAAGCTTAAGCGGGTTGAGTCGAGTTGTTGACCAGATAGTTCCATTGGGTTTAAATAAGGGAAAATCTGAGGCCCAAGATATTATAATTCTTGTACTTCTTCTTCAAGGTTTTAAATAGAAGTTCTTGTTGATTTTAATGGTGTTTTCTTGGTAGTTGATTGTTTTGGGGAAGTTATGCTAATTAGCTAAATACACAATGAGGTTATGTGGTAGATAAGAATTTAGGAAGGGGGTTAATAGCTACCGAAATAAAACTTTATTAGTTTTAAGGTAATGTATTTAACATTTTATACATTTTCGTGTGTGAGGCTATCCCAAGTTTTTATTTTCTCCACAAACCAAATGTCTCTTTGGAAATTATCATTTTGAGAAACTTTTCTCATTTTTTTCCTTTTAATGTCAAACAAGAATGCAAAAGTTTCAACTTCATCTTAGAACCAACATGTAAAAAGGAGGGATTAGCAATGAGGGAAGATGAAAACACGCAACCAAGATGGTTTGGTCATGTGTAACTAGTGACTCTGGTTGATAAGACTATTGACATTACACTTGAAAAGTTCGTGGTGCTGTTTGAGGTTGTGAGAAGAGATTTAATGAATATGGGTCAAGGATATGAATCTAGAAGAGTAGTAAAGAACACTTTATTTGGTTAATGTTACATGATTTGGGGAGGGCCTTGTTATGTTGCCTAGCTTTAGTTTGCCTATCCATGTATCTTGCAGGTCAAATTGCAGCTTTTTAAAATCCTTTTTTTATAAAGTTTTTAATCAATCTCATTAATGGTTTAGCATTTACTTGATCAAGTTGACCTTTTGATCTAGAAGTTTGTTTTGGTTGTTAAAGCTGTGGAGGACAATAATACTCACACCTTTTAAGCTCATCACGGTGTTCTTGCATGAAGCAAGCCATGCAATTGCTTGCATACTCACATGTGGCAAGGTAAGAAGAAGTTATTTTTTGTTTTCTGTTATCTTTGGTGCTTAAATGATGTGATCAGATGGCATAGAGGAAACAATGGTTACTTTCTTAAATAGATATCTATATTTCAGTTGATCAAAACTTGGTCTTTTATTTTCAAAGTTGTTTGCTTGTTGTGTGAGAATTCACCTCTCTTTTTACACGAGTTTGAGTTTACACATATGATCACTAATACACCGAGTTCTGATTGATTGAGGCATTGAAAGAAACCTTAGCCGGCAATGTTGTTCCTTACTTGCCTAACAATATTCAGTTTAGAAGTTAGATCAACACTCACATTTTACTTTTCTACACAAGCTTATAGGCCACTTAACATGCAAGCTTACGGTAAAGAAGGACTAGAACTTGCTTTGCTTTGGTCCATTCTGTTTTGGTCAGGGGCTTAGCAATTTTTATTTATTTATAGTATATGACCTTAGTTTAAATGTCAGATAATGGGCTAGCTTAAATAGTCAAACGGAAAATTAGCTGCTCTAAATTATAGATGAGGATGATACATTTTATGCTACTCTACACTTGGGAAAGTCCAACTGTAACTTTTCACTTTCAAAGCTTGTTGGTAGTTCAACAGTTGCATATCTTCGATAAGATGTTATAATTATTTCTAATACTATTATCATTTTTATTGTTATTATTGTTATCATCATAATTATTAACTTTCTCATTATTATCATTGTTCTTATTTTATTCTTTTTTGTAAATGTTATGTAATCTTGGGATCTCATAATTTTCCTAAATGTTCCAAATTTAGAATGATTGAAGCTTATCAATGGTGAATGTAAGCACATTGTACCAAGTGTTTCGGTTTTGAAGGCTGACTTACATTAGGCCGGCTAACACATGCCAGTTTGTTAAACTTCTTTAGTTTCTAGGAAAGTAGCATCCTCAATCATGGATTTCTAATTTTAATTCATTTTCAGGTGGAAGGTATCCAGGTTCACGCAAATGAGGGTGGGGTCACACAAACACGTGGTGGTATATATTGTTTGATCTTACCTGCAGGATGTAATACACTTTTGTCCCTAATCTTTATTTTTCGTTTCAATGTATCCTTATTTTTGCCCTTTGTTATGAGACATTATTTATTGGCATTTGGCATTGACTTCGAAAAGCAATTTTGGAAGTTTTGAGCATGATATGATTGTCTTACTGGATATGTGCATACATAGTTAACCTTATTAAGTTTCTCAATTTATCACACTTGCATTTGATGTGCACAAGCTAAGTTTTGTCCTCAATTTGTTATACTTCATCTTCAGTGCATGTCTAAGATGTGTCTGAGTATATGATAGGGGCCAAATAGTCTGTGTTGGCACAAACGTGGCTTCTGATGCTAAAATAGGACTCTTTAGAAGTTCTCATGGTTTTTTTTATTTCATGCTTGCTGGTGTTATATGAAAATCATGCAGGCTTTGAATTCACTTTTTTTTTT